TAAGATGAGAGAGGAAAGCTAGTTCCATGGCATTCCTGAAATGTCATCCTGTGCAGATTTGTGGATGGCTGTGCAGTCGAGCAAGCAACATAGACTTCCATTTCCAGAGAAAACCAAGATTCAGAGCTGAAGCAAGCCTTCTTAAGTTACTTGCAAATGGAGACCATATGTGCCGCCAATCACCCCTACAACTCCAAGTGTTCGTATTTTTATTGTTAGTAGATTGATTTTAGTAGTACATGTGGCGTGTATTTATTAAAATCAAAGAGTGAAGCATATTCTATTTTTCAAAATTCAAAATCATGGTGGAGAATTGAATGCTGGAGATGAAGATATAAGCTTGAGGACTGATAGAGGAGGAGACGTTTTCACTTTTGAACTTTAAAAAAAGCTTTGTGAAGAAATGCATAAACGAGGTTCTTTACTGCACCCTACACACCACAGCCCAAAATGGTGTTGTAGAGAGGAGAAACAAACTGATCTAGTCTATGGCTAGATGCTTACTCGAGCAGTTAAAAAGTGTACCTTGCATAATTTTGACGGGGTGAAGCTGTGAAAGACGCTCAGTCCATATCTTGAATAGAGCATCAATCATTGTGTTCAGTATGACTCCCTATGAAGCATGGATGAAGTGCAAGCCAAATGTGCAGTATTCAGGACTTTGGTTGTATAGCTTATGTGAAAGCAGCAGGACCACACATCAAAGAAGCTTGAAGATAGAAGTCATCCTATGGTGTGTTTGGATTGAGCCAGCACTAAGGCTTATAGACTTTATGATCCAAATTGAGGGAAGAAGATTCATATCAGCAGGGATATAATTTTTGATGAAGAAAAACGAGTGGAAATGGATGACAAAACCTAACAGCATATGACAGGAAAACAAGGCCAGTTATGTGACTTTCAGGTAGAAGGAGAGCACACTCATCTTTACAATTGAAGAGCAAGAAGCAACAACTCCTTGTATATCTACTATAGTCCTTCAAGGTATGTGACCTCTGAACCTCCTGTTACTAGAGAAATATCACCAAATTTAGATAGTAGTTCATAGAACCCATAGATATAGACGGTGCAAGATATCTATGATGAAACTACTGAAGTTGAAGAGGAGGTTGGTGTATGTTTGACAGCTGTAGAAGAACCAATGTTTATATGATGCAATTAAAGAAGATGTGTGGAAGAAGGCAATGGATGAAGGAAAACGATATAGACTGCATATTCCGAAAATCAAACATGGAATGGACTGAGTCTACCTGCTGGATATAGAGACACATAGGGCTCAAATGGGATGTAACAAAATTAGAAGAACAACAACAACAGGTGAAGATTTAAGGCATAAAGCAAAATAGAAACTATACCTATACCAAAAACTAGTATGCGCAAGCATCCTCCTTCTACTTTTGGGGTCCACATGTGATTAGTTGGGCTTCACAGAAACAAAAGATAGTGGATTTATCATCTTGTGAAGCAGAATATGTAGCTATCACTATTGCAGCTTGCCAAGGAATATGACTTAGTCGCTTACTAAGTGAATTGAAAGGGGAAGCAGAGAAGACAGTGAAGTTGATGGTAGATAACAAATCTGCGATTGCTATGAGCAAGAATCCGGTGTACCATGGAAGGTCTAAGCATATTGATACTCGCTATCATTTCATCAGAAGTTATATTGAGAAGAAACAGATTGAAGTGGAGTATATCAGAACAGAAGAGCAGTTGGCTGATATATTTACCAAGTCTTTGGGAAGAGTGAAGTTTATAGAGATGATAAAAAATATTGGTCTAAAAAGCTGCAAGTTTGAATGACAAGATTAGGGGAGGCAATGTTAAGTCTAATCTTTGTCATTTTATGTTAATCATTTGTTTAGGTGTTTGTTTAGAAAAATAACTGTATAGCAGTTATTATTTAGTTTTGTTTTTGAATTTGTGTGGCGTAAGTTATAGAGATATAACTGTGCAGCAGTTATTTGGTTTTGCAATGTACCGAAAATCTCTTTTCTCTCAATGTTATGTTTTTTTAAAAACAACAGTTTTTCCTTTGGAAAATAGAGAAATGAAAAGTTTGTGTGAAGAAAAAAATCTGTCCGAATTTTTTTTCTGTTTTTCTTGTTCTTGCTACAGGTATAATCCTGATTTTGATCCTTCCAAACATTATTTACTCTCATACTCTCTCTCTCTCTCTCTGACTCTCTCTCTTCTCAATTGTATTATAAGATCCCAATTTGAGATATAATGGGTCTCACCATTATTCTACATATAAGATAATAAACAAACCAGTTAGCAATATCATTCTAATCCAAGAAACCTAAAAAAAGGTTATTAGAATTTTTCTTTTAATAATTCACAGCACAAAAAATCTTATAATTTAGCATGCCTAATTGACATAAAAACGACCATGTGTAATACATAAGGATATCATTCTCTCATATTATCCTCTTTATTTATCTTCATGTGACTTTGAATTATATATCGAGCAATATAACATTTTACCTCCATAAAAGAAATAATCAAAGACACAATTTCTCTCTCTCTTACATTATCTGAAGATGTTGAATGCGTCCAAAGGCTAATCATGAACTACCATGTCATAATGCACTATGCACTGAGTAACATGATGGTTTTTGATTGACATTGCATGTAATAAATTTTTCTCTCTCACACACTTTATATCTCTATCATTAAATTTCTTTTTTTCTTTATATATATATAACGAAATAGTTCCATGATCCAATTTCCCTATCCCTGAGGATGTATTCTGTTCTCCACTTCTCCACCCAAAAACCTCCCCAAAGCCCCTCTCTTTCGCCTTCTCAATCCAAATGGAGCGGCCTGCACAAGCTCCTCTGCTCCCTCCATCCCCAACCCCTAACCCTACACGTAAACCTAAGCCCAAAACTCCCCTTCGTCTTCTCCTCTCATCTCAAATCACTACCCTACCCGCTGATCCACCACTACCCCATCCCCCTCCCAAACCAATCCTCCTCCTCCTCCACCGCCGTTTCCGCCGGCCGAAGCAAGAAGAAGCCCGGAGGCCCCTCTCCAGGACGTATCGAGGGCAGCGGTGAGCTCCGCCGCGCCGCCAAGGAGAACGCCCGCCGCCGCTCCCGCCGAAGCTCTGAAAACCGCTTCTACCGCCGCTCCCGCGCTGCTGCCGAGCAAGCGGATTCCTTCACTGAGGATGAACTCGAGATGATCGGTCTCGGCTACGACCGCGCCGTCCGATTCATGTCCAAGGACCACCCCATGCTCCGACACCCCTATGACTGGTACAAGTACGGCCGATACGGCCCTTACTCCTGGCGCGGCATCGTCGTCGGCCCCCCAATTCGCGGCCGGTTCACCGACGAGCGCGTCTCCATCATCAGCGAGGTTCGCGATCACGAAGAGTTTGAAAAAATCGAACAGTTTGAGATGGCTAATGAATACTCCCGCCATGTCCTAGATCTCAACCCCTCTGTTGGCCTCCGGCATTACTGGGTTTTCGTCCGGCATCCTAAATGGAGGGCTAGTGAGCTCCCTTGGCAGCAGTGGACTCTGGTTTCAGAGGTCGTTGTAGAGGCCAGCAAGAAGGAGCGGGTTGATAAATGGAGCTTGATGGGTCGGTTGGGAAACAGGAGTAGAGCAAATGTTACACAATGTGCCGCTTGGATGAGACCTGACATCATTTACGTCAAGAAGCCGCTTTATCAGTGCCGTTTTGAGCCTCAAGATGAGTTTTTTAAGCATCTATGGCCGCTGCTTGATCCGAACACAGAGAATGAGTTTAAATTCGAGTTGAAGACAGAGGAAAATGGTAGGGTTTTTGTTGAGAACTGCACCTACTTTGGTGGTCTGTGTAAGATTGTTAAGATTAGTCCCAAAGCCTATGTGGATGATGTGGTGAATGCTTATCAGAAGTTGAGTGATGAAGGAAAATCGCGGTGCTTGGAGTTCTTGCTGAGAAACCATCCAGTGGAGTTGCTTCACCCTTACACTAAAGAATGGAAGGCAAAGTTAGAGGAGATTGAATTGGGCTGTGATGCTCCCGATGAGAGTGATGATGATGGTGGTGGGAATGAGGGAGAAGTTACTGAATGGATTGAGGATGATGAAGAGGATGACGAAGAGGATGATGATTATGTCATGGAGGCTTCAGGAGGGGATGATGAAGTGATTGATGTGGGTGAGGATGTGGTGGATAAAGAAGAAGAAGAAGAAGAAGAGGTAAAAGATCCTGATCCTGAAGAAACTCAGGAATACTGGGATCAACAATGGGAGAAGGCTCTAAAGAGCTCACAGGCAATGGAGGAGCTGGTGAAAAAGAGGCTCCAGGCATCTGATACACACTACAAGAAGCAGATGGAGGAGGAAAGTAATAAAGAGGAGGAAAGACATGAATCAACTCAGATTGATGTGGATGCAGAATTGGAGCAAATTAAAGCAGAATGGAAGAGGGAAGAGTTTAAATGGGCCAGTAGAAAGGTGAAGAAAGGAAAGCTACCTCCTGAGCTGTTTCTAAAATCTGCTGTCAGGCCATTCACATATCGGAATCTTGTTAAAGAAATCGTTTTGATGAGACATGCTATTCTTGATGGAGATATTAGTTTGAAAACCTGAGTAGAACACCATTTATTTGGATTTGCATTATTCCATGGAAGAAAACGCATCAGTTCTGGAATTTGCGATGTTGATCTCTGATTAGGATATCCAGCTGCTTCAAATCAGGTGAAGCAGAAATTTTGAATCCAACTATTCAAGTTGAAACCATTGAAAGATGATCATTTGTATCTGATTGCTTGCTTATCAATGGAAAGTTAGGAAATCTTATATTAAGTTTGAGATTAGCATATAATCAAATTGTATGATCTTAATGTTATATTATCATAATTTTTGTTAATGCTTATGAGTAATTAAAATTTGCACAATGGGAGGCCTAGGTGATATTTGAGTCCACTTTCTGTTGAATTTAATGAGGATTAACAATTGGGGATTGGTGTAAGTACACAAAAAATACCATTTTTGATAGGTTTCATACCGATATTAAGCATCATAGGTACTCTCATTTATGATGGCTTTTTGGTAGGTTAAGGTTTAGAGAAGTTTCACAAACTTGTTCCAGTGAGGTTTTCTAAACTTTATTCATTTACTTGTTCTTTTGCATGATAGCTATGTTTGGTGCAGTCACACATAGCTATCATGGTTAAGGTCCGGAGAATCTTCAAACTTGTTCCAGTGGAGAGATTATTATGTGCGGAGTCCAGATGCAGAAAAGTGTTCGATTTTGTAATTATAAACAGTAAAAACGCAGTCTATTCACCACAATATTTTTACTATTCACAATCACAAAATCAAACAATTCTTTATTTCCAGACTTCACATGTAATAATCTCATTCTAGTGAGGCTTTCTAAACCTTATTTATTTATTTGTTATTTTGCATGATAGCTATGTTTGGTGCTGCCAAACTTGTCAATCTCATCACTGAATGATTAGCTCTCATGCATCTGGAATCATAGTAACTAAAATAATTGTTGGAAGGCATGCTTGTGTTGTCCAATATTTGATTGATATTTTATGGAAATAAAAGAAAAAGTAAGTGCAGGTGCTGTAATTTTATGGAAATAAAAATATATTCAATAAGTAAAGCTCAAATTTTATAAGAGAATTAGAAGAATTAGAAGGATATTCCTAATGATTATTCTTCTATCAATTCCAATAACATTTTACACCATATAACTTTCTTATGACCCAAGCAAATTGGAAAATCAATACAATTCTAACAATTAATAATTCTTCTTAAGATTACAACTAATCTTAAATTCTTAACAGCATTGAATTTGTCAGCTTTGCATACAAAACTCCCTCATACAAACTCTGCTTCAACAGTCACATTCTGCAACCTGCAACTTCTGAAAAGTATGCATACCAATTCTCCAAAGCTCAGATCCATAATGGCTAAGGAAGACCTTTCAGTCTGTGACTCAGTTACAAAGCTGCTCAGATCAAAAACAGCAAAGAAAAGGTGAAGCAGCTGCAGCTGCCGCAGAAGGAATGACTAAGGCTTCGTTTGGAGCAGTTTTTTTATTGCTTCTTAAAGCAGCTTCCTAGCATAAAAGTTAAATTTTTTGTACTAGAAAACAGCTTTAAGAAACAAAAAGAAAGCCGTCTCAAAAGAAGCCTAAACCTGCATTCATTTTATCCAGATTTTCACACAGGTTTAGGCAAAATCTGCTCAAAATCAAAGACCTCAAACATCAAACGCCTGACATCAGGTTTTCCATAGACACAGTAAGACAGCCCGTGAATCGCCTGCTGAACGGCAGTCGAAGTTGGATTTCTGAGCCGGCGATTATGCTCGTACTTGTCCTGAACTGCTTCATTATATATGATGAAGCTGTGGAGATGCTTTTCTCTCAGGTACCGGCCACAGAACTTGTTCATCGTGAGCCGCCGATGCTTCTCTTGAAGCCACCTTCCAGGAGCATCAAGATGCTTCATGAGCAATCTCTCAGCCATTACAAGATCCTGAAAGTATCAAATGGATGAAGAAGGGCTCTGGAATTTAGAGCAGTTGTGAACAAGAAGGATTACCTGAATCTTTTGGCCTACATATTCCAATCGCTCAAAGCAAAATCGAGGATGCTCGAACTTGTACTTTGATGGATGCAGGAAGCACAACTACAAAAATATCAAATGTAAAAGGGATCATAATTAACAAGCAAAGTAGCACGCTTGATGAACAGATTGATACTCATTCATACAAACCTCATTTACATTCATTTGTTCAGATAATTGAACAAACTCGAACAGAATCTAAAACTCGACGTTGAAATGAACAACTTTGAATATTAATCTACTTGTCTAATTCCAACTTCGAATAGTAAGAAAGCTGTTCCAAATGAAACTTAAATGTTCTAGATTTTGTTTCACTTTTTTATTTATCTAATTTGCTTTTACCTAAATACCTAAACAACCACAAAATCAAGAAAATACATAAATTTCAGTTCGCTTGCAAACATATCACATGAGCACATACTGATGTTAGCATCATAGTAAATCAGGAAGCTTAAGTCAATTACCTGCAAGCCTAATCCAAGTTCAATGTTCCTCGCTTCTGTGATCTCAGGAATTCTGTCAGTCATCTGCAAAGGATAGCCTAGTGCTTCCATAACTTTCGGTCTGCAATCAAAATCCCAAATGTTTCCTCGGAATCGATGCATTCCGGGCGGGACACATGCCCTAAAAAGCCTTGGATGAGCAAAAAGTGCATCTTCTGGAGGCTGGAAAGGAAGCAAAGTTCCGTTAAGCTAATCAATAACTCTTAAGAACACAGCAAGTAGAAATAGAAGGAGAAACAGAAAACTCCAAGAAGCACAAACAAAAACCAAGTATGTGAATAGAAGAAAAGAAAAAGTTGTTATTTATCATACCCTGTATGCAGCAACCTCTTGCCAACCAAGTTGACGACCTTCAAATTCAACTGAAACATAATCTACATCTTCTAGTTGTCGTCTCAATTTAGGTTGGCAGTTCTCATCCTCTGGATCCATTCCAAATGCTTCGAAGAGAACGCGATAAACTTCAGGCATGCCAAAGCAGAGATAAATTGCTCCAAACAATGCCCAAAATACAGATCTGACCAGAAAGCAGGTGAAAATAAATTGTTAAGATACCGAAAACAGTCTGTACGTAATGCGAAATAGCATTTGTATTCTATCATCACCAATTATAAACTTAAAAAGATCTAAAATAACAAGCGCTAACTCCCACGGCTCAGCTAAAAAAAAGAACAACACTTCTTAGCACGTTAAATTGTGGAAGGATTTGGTAAATAATGGATGCTCTAGAGAACATTCAAGTTCTGTGGCTTATCTTTCAAGGATGATATTTTTAATAATGTTCAATATTTTCCATGAATGAGTAGGACCAGCATAACCACAATGGTAAGTGTGATGAAGATTGGAATAAGGCCAAACACAAATAAATATCCTTCCGTTTGTTGGATTACCTTGTTTGTTTATACTGTCTCTTATTTGAAGACTCTCATGAGGCTTTGATCAACTTTAATAGGAAGCACTCAATAGATAGTGTAATAGGTGTTCTTCTTGATCACCATACCTAGTATTTGGTAACACTCCCTCCCATGGTTAATATCATTTCTTGCTGACGAGTATTCATTATTAAGTTTCATCTTAATGGCTCTATTGATTGCTATGAGTCTCGATTGATGGTGAAAGGATATATTTAAGTTGATGATATTAACTAATTTGAAAATTTCACCAATTTCTTGGTTGAATTATGATCAACTTCTGCTCTTTGTTACTATAAATCAAGCTTGGCAATGCATTTCTCTATGAGGACCTCACTGAAGATGTTTCTAAAGAGCAACCTCCAAAGTATATTGCATGGGGAGAAACCAAAATATACAAGATTTGAAGAGAGTTATATGGATTAAAACAACATCCTTATGCTTGATTCGACAAACTCTGCAATATTTTGTTGATCTAAGACTGCGAAATAGTGTTGTTGATTATTCTAGTTTATTTGGCATTTTTCCTCTGCTACAATGACACCTATTTCTGTTTATGTTGATGACTACTCACTATGAGTGATAATTTGAGCACGGAGCATTAATAATCCCCCACTAAAGGGGGATTTACATACATAACACTTTATTTCAAGCTATTTACATATCTAACATCCAAAACTTTAATATTACATGCCTACCACTCATATAAAATTTTAATATCAAATATATCACTCATATATTTCATTCTTACCACCCATACTACCTTATAAGCTTTAATATTTTATTCCATGCACTCATATTTGTTCTATGGGTGGTAGGCATGTAATATTAAAGTTTTAAATGTTAGATATTTAAATAGTTTGAAATAAAGTGGTATGTATGCAAATCCCCCTAAAATAATTATATCTTCAAGTTATCAAAGATATGGGGTATAAAAAATAATTACATGGCATTGTATTTGCATATAATAAATAAGTTGTTTCTCTCTCTTAGAGAAATTATTCTTGAAGCCTTATGGTATACAAATGTGTTGAGTCTCCCATGGATATTGTGTAGACATCTAAGAATGAACTAACCTTTGGAGAAACTTCTAGCTTTTAATAGACTCACCTATCCGACAGTCACCAGACTTGACATATCTTTTGTTATTGGTGTGGCTAATCAACACATGCAAAATCTGAAGAAACATTAAGAGGCTATCCTTATTATTTTGAAATATGTCAAAGGATCTCCCAAAAAAAAAAAAAAAAACACTAATTTACAAATGAAATAATCATCAAAGAATTGGAGCATGTGCAAATCACACCAAGTTTGTTGAAGATAGAAATTAATTTCTAGATATTGTGTTTTGTTGGTGTAATTCTTATAAGTAAGAGTAAGAAACAAACAATCATGGCTAAACCTAGTGTTGAGGCAAAATTATAGGGTTGTGGCTCAGTTTGCTTGTGAAATGATGTGAATAAAAACTCATTCAGAAGATTTTAATTTTCAACTTATCTAATCTACATCTTAAACTATGATAATAAAGCTTCTATTTATATTACTAGCAATCTTATCTTCCATAAAGAACCAAACATATCAAAGTTAGCCATCACTTCATTGGCCTTATCAAAGAAGATCATCACTTTATATATTGCTAGTAAGGAATAATAGCTTGATATCTTTAATAAGGCTCTTGAATCTCTCCATTTTTCCAATCTTATAACAAGTTGAAAAGTTTAAGCGAGGGTGTCCGCATATAAAAACATCCAAATTGAAAAGTTTGTGAGATATGATAATGGCATATGTTTATATGATATATGGAATTTTCCTCAGAACCTTGTATTCATTTTTGTTTTATAAATAGATGAGTTTTGATTCATAAACAAACCAAAATACTTTCTCTCCAACACTCTAAATATTACAATCATCAAATTCCTTCTTCCAATAACATTATAACATTCAACCAGGATTGAAAGCTTCATTTCAGAAAATCCTTAATTAAGCTACACAATTATCTCTACCAACTTCACAAGTATTAATGTACATCTCCTATGGACCTAAAGTTTTATTTTTATGTATCTTCAACAAAGGTAACTAAGCTTTACCATTTAGGATAAAAATGCGATCTTTCATTCTTTTTGCTTTGTTTTAATAAAAAAAAGTTACTTAAAATAGTCATTATCATTTCAAATAATTCTTTCATTCATTATTGTTCATTGATGTCATCACCCATTGCTAATATCCTATTATCTTTAATTTATCTTAATGTATATAATTTGATCAAATTATATGTTTTTTTCCTTGCGTGTAAGCTATTTTATCTAGATCAATGCTGCACTATCTCACCCAGCCTAAACAAAATCTTGGTGCATTGGCGCAAAGGGTTTAGGTGTCATATAAAGTTATTAAGTTTTCTCTCTCTCTATATCCTTCTTAGTGCCAATACATCAACATATTCTTGAGGCAATGAATGGGGGAAACAAAGAAATTTTCTTTTATCCATCTTTGTTCTTCATCTTATTAACTATCCTTCAACATAAACCATTAAGAGCTTTACCTTTCCTTTGCTTAGTAACTCTAAGCAAGTATTGCAAGTCCCTTATAATTATTATTTTTTCCTATAAAATTTACTTCTTACAATATATTTCTATTTTTAGTAAACAATTATAATTTCTAATTCTATCATCAAGTCTCTTAAATTATAAAAATTCCATAACTCACCTCATATTTCATGGCAATCTACTTATTATAACTATTTAATTTTATCCGAGAACAAATTTGGCTCAATTTTCAAGCTTTAATTCCCTCTCAATGATTTATTTTGCAGTAATAATATCTTCTTACCTTTTAATCTCCAACATTTCACCCGATGACATATATCCCCTTTGATAAACAACTTTACCTTCAAAACTTAAATCCATAACAGCTACTTGTACTATGTGGTAGCTCTCTTTAAATTACTTTAGTATTTTTAATAAATAGATTTTTCTTTCCTTGGTCGTAAACAATAATATTTTGATGTAAATAACACCACTTTTAAAAGTACAAAAGTACTCATGCAACTACGCAATCACATATAGCTTCAATAATTATATTTCAATCTGTTATTCCATTAAACTCCATAAGAGAATATACATTTTCAACCTTGTTTAAGTAGTAGCAAGAATTCATGAGATACCATACTCAAAATGGAATTTCATGAACGTTAAACCACACAAATTAACTTACTTCACCGGTGGTTCCCTTTCCTTGCGTATCATCTTATCCATCTCATCATAAGGAAACACCAAATTCTGCAAGCTCGCAGCTTTGATCCATTTGGGCATAACATGCTTCCCAGTCAAAGCATACACCCTTTCTCTCATTGGTCCCGGAGATTCTCGCGGATACTTTTGCAGGAAGAATTCTGAAAATGCAAGCTCAATCACATACTGCCCCAGAAAGCAAAGCCTAGAATGCCCATTCCTAATATGCCTCGCCTTGGTTCTCTCACCCTCACCAAACGGATGCTGGAATGCCAAATACAGCAAGGTATCAAATTGCTTGGCTGGGTTATCATCCCCAAGCTTCTCCGAAGGTTCAAGAGGATAACCTAGGGCCTGCTTGGCCTCAAGAAGATACTCTTCAATCCAGGTTCTGTCGGCATTGTTGAGGCGAGAAGGTGGGAGGCAGGAGCTCAGCAAAGGAAAGGACTTGAGGGAAAGCTGTGGGCTATTAAGGAACCTCTGTGTGAGCTTAGCGTCGTCAAGGGGAGGCTTGAGTATAAATCTTCGGGGAGGGATCTTCTTCTTGGGTGAAGTGACCTTCTTGCGCTCGGCTAGCTCTTTGAGGAGGCGCTGGGGGCTGTTGGCCGGTGTGGTGGTTAGGGTTAGGATTTGTTGTGGTGGGCCGGATTGCTCACCGGCGACGGAGACTGCACGGATTGAGATGGAAGGGGGTAAGAATCGGAGGGGTTTGAATTGGGATTTCAGGGGAAAAGTAGAGATGGAGGAGGAGAATGAAAGATATGAGGTTGGAGAAGAGGAAGGGCTTGGGAGAACGCGGATTGCGGAGGAGAGCTCCATTGATGGACTTGGGCGGGGCGGAAGGGTTAGTGGAGAAGAAGCCATGAATCAAAATCAGGTTTTGAAAAGCACTATGCGGTTTTCAACGGCCATTAGCTGGGTTTTCTGCTGGGTTTAGGAAGAACTAGAGATATTTCCTGATAAGAGCGCTACCGAAAGAGGAGGAAGTCTAGGATATATTTTTTATGATTTAAAATTAATAATAATAAAATTATTATTATTATTTTGATAATAATAACAAATTAAAATTATTAGCCGTTAATGTAATTAGAAGAAAAAAATTTCAGAACAAAATAGCACATAACATCTCTATCCCCAAGTGTATTTGTATATTTAATATATAGTTTTATATATTTATTTTTATAATATTTTAATATGTCAATCACATTAAAATAAATATACAAAAAAAATTATGTTTTTGATATGATTTAAATATTTAAATGATGTATAAAAAAATATAAAAATTGTATTATTAATATATAAAATGTCTATCATCATCTATCAAATATGAGAATTTAAAACATTAAATTTAAATTATTTTTTATTTTATTAATGATATTTGCTATTAAAATTTTAGTCAATTCAAAATTTTAATAGACCGAAAGAATCCAAAATAATGTGAGAGACTTTATAATTTTAAATAAATGATTGTATATATTACTTTATATGAATTATTTGAAGTTATATTGAGAATATAATTTTATGAGGGTGTTTGGTTGCAAGTAGGGTTTAATTCAAATAAGATTTAATAAATTATGTAAATTTAATTTTATTAAATTATGAGACAACTAAATCCTAAAAATTATTTAAGGCAATAGAAATTAAATTCATTTAAATTTTGATGGACTATTTTGCTACTTAAATATGTTTAAATCAAATAAAATTTTAATAATACGAAATTATTTGTTCATATTTGTAATTGATTAATATTAACATTTAAGATTAATTTATTTGTATTTAATTTACATGATTAAATTTCCTTAATATTATAATTAAATTATTAAATATTAATATTATAATTAATTAATTATGAATGAAAATTATTAAATCAGATTTAACCTTTAAAATTTAAATAAATATCTAAATATTAACTATTAGCCAGATGGTTCTCTTCTTACGCTATAAATTAATTATAAATTAAAAAATAAATTTATAATTAAAAAATTTCATGTTGTTATTAAATTAAGTACAAGTTACACTGTTAATTATACATTTAAAAGTATATATTTAAGTTATATTAATTAAGATAATTATATTAATATTTAATTACTAATTATATCACTAATCATTCAATTAAGTTGAATTAGATAATTAAGTTATGCACTAATTAAACTATTAATTATTTAATTAATTTACTTAATTATTAAAATATTTTAAATTATATTAATTAGTTAATAATTATAATTTAGAGGCGTCTAGGTTTCCCTTTCAGCTTCTCTTTTCGTCATTGCTGTTCGGCGTCGTTGCTTCGCAGAGGTGTAGAGATTGCACGCATCGCTTATTCGGCTCCTTCGTGGCTGTTCGACTTCGGTCCTTCGACGGCTTTACCTTCCTGTCGGATCGGAAGTTACGACATTTTGATCGGAAGCAACAACGGGAGCTCGCTGGCTGTGAAGGTAACTTTCTACCTTTCGCGCGCTTCTTCGGCCAAATCCCATAAATCCGCCGAACCAAGGGATTTAGTAAATCCGGGATTTAAGCCGTAAATCCTTAAATCCGGGATTTACCCATCGCCGGGATTTAACCCGCGCCTGGATTTAGCGTAAATTCGAATTAAATCCCGCTGTAAAGCCGATACGAAACAGCCCCTAAAGTTGTCATTTTTGCAGCTTGGCAGGATATAGGTAAAATACTGCTCAAATCCTGACTCAAGGGAGTTCGCCTTCTACTTGTGCCTGACTGTTGCAGATCAGAGAGTTGAAGACACGATAGGGGCCGAAGCGGCAATCAGTGGTGAGGTTGAACTGTAAACATGCGCATGAAATGTGATAAATGATTACATTGTTGCAATTAGTTCTAATTTTTTCGTATACGTTGACCATTTTTCGCCAACTTTAACATTTTCTATCTGTATTTCCTTCCACATTGTTGATTCTATACACTTCATTTCATTTGCGTGTATTTTTCTTGGTTTCAGTCGTTGTACAATTGCATAAGCTCGGAAATCTGCCCTAGTTTCACCTTTAGTTATTGAATTGAAACTGGTTGAAATTGATTTAGTATTTGATTTACAATACTTTTAATAGAATTTGATAGAAAATAAGCTTTTTGGTATCAATATTTATGAGCAAAGGCAATGTTTAGGATTTTGTTAACTATGAAGGAATTAAGCTTATGAGTAATGCAATTAACACTTCATGCAATCTCCTTTTCATCATTATTTTATGCATTTTATTTTGTCGCCTTTCACAAAAAAATATTGCTATATCATTTAATGAGGAAAATATGATAAGTTTTATGTGAGAGAGAATTTTCAGCTTTTGTTTTGTATTTTTTCTATGCCATTCATGCTTTTACTGCTGCACCAAATAAGCAACATGTGCATGATATTCTTGGTCTCACTTTGAGTAAAGAAAACTCATCTGAATAATTGAAGCCTATGAACTCATATTATGTATTAAAACCCACCAAAGTTACTTTTTTTACGTTTATCCCAATATCCTCAGAGTTCTTTTTCTTCAAAAGCTCTCGCTTCTCACTCTAAAATCATCAAGTTACGTACATTTCTATACACAACAACAACATCAAGCCTTTGTCCCACTACATGGGGTCTGTTACATGAATCTTTTTTTGTCATTGTGTCATATTAAAAGTCAAATTCTCATTTAAATCTAATAAAGAAAGATCATTTCTAATATAATATAACTAAGTTTTTTTAGGTCTACCTCTACCTTTCTTAACATAAGACAAATCTAAAACCTCAACTTTCCTAACCGGGTCATCGGAAGGCCTCCGTTTAATGTGACCAAACCATCTAAGGCGACTCTCTCTAATCTTATCTTCCACTGGAGCTACTCTAGCCTTTTCACGTATATGCTCATTTCGTATCCTATCTCTAAGTGTAAAGCCACTAATCCACCTAAGCATCCTCATCTCTGCAACACTTAGTATTAATGTACATTTCTATGTCCTAACAAAATGTTTTTTTATAGATGTCTGATGATGATGGGATCACTAAAAGCAGCAATCATACAAATTCAGCTGCCAACTCTTCATCATCAGCATCAAAGAATGACATATCTTGGAGTGAAACTCTTGCAAATATACTGCACCATGCATCAATATATGGAATAGCAGCTGGCTACTGTATCTCTGCCTCCCTTCTATCAATAATCAACAAATGGGCTCTCATGAAGTTCCCCTACCCTGGTGCCTTGACTGCCTTACAGTATCTCACCAGTACACTTGGAGTCCTAATTTGTGGTTATCTAAAGCTCCTAGATTATGACAGACTTGATCTCATAACAATGTGGAAATTCTTACCTGCTGCCCTGATTTTCTATCTCTCACTCTTTACCAACAGCGAGCTCCTTCTCCACGCCAATGTCGACACGTTCATAGTGTTTCGATCTGTCGTCCCCATGTTTGTAGCAGTAGGAGAAGCACTCTTCTTAATGCAGCCATGGCCTTCTCTCTCAACCTGGCTTTCACTTGCCACCATCTTTGCTGGAAGTCTGATATATGTCCTTACTGACTATCAATTCAACTTGACAGCTTACAGTTGGGCCGTTGCTTACGTCGTAAGTATGTCGATTGATTTTGTTTACATCAAGCATGTAGTGATGACAATTGGTCTGAACACTTGGGGCCTGGTGCTCTACAACAATCTGGAGGCCCTCTTACTGTTTCCCGTTGAGCTGCTTGTTATGGGAGAGCTGAAGAAGATAAGGCATGATATTGTGGATGAATCGGACTGGCATTCCTTCAGTGTGGTCTTGCCAGTGGGGCTCTCTTGTTTGTTTGGTTTGGCCATTTCTTTCTTTGGGTTCTCTTGCCGAAGGGCCATCTCTGCTACAGGTTTTACAGTGCTTGGTATAGTTAACAAGCTTCTGACTGTAATCATAAATTTGGTGATTTGGGACAAACATTCAACACTGATTGGAACCATTGGGCTGCTTATTTGCATGTTTGGTGGAGTCCTCTACCAGCAATCCACATCAAAGCCGAAGGCAGTGTCGGTTCAGACCGAGTCGGCGGTCGAGGATGAAGAACAGCAGATGCTTCTAGAGATGAAGCTTGAAGTTGAGGTGAATGAAAACCAGGGCATTGTTGCAGAAGAGACCACTTAAGGATTTTAAGATTCTTTTGATGACCTAAGTTTAAGGAGGATAAGTGAGATTGGCTATCTTGGAAAACTGATGGAATTGAAGACCTGTGTGGGTATGCTTAACAATCTGAGCCAAGCAGATAATATGCAGAAAGGAAATTGGTTATACTTTGTGCAGGGCAGGGCTCTCATTGAAGAAAATGCTTTTGATCAGGTGAAGTCTTATGATAGAAGTATTCGTATTGTGTAATTTATGAAAAATTATTCTGTGCGGACACCGAACTCCGTCTTGAGATTAACCAGAATACGCCACATCATTTCTTTATTTGGTACCGCAGCTCGGTACTGCTAATGTGGTTGCACCTAATTCACCTCCGGAACCTCTTAATTCAATTTTGTTTATGATTGAAGCATATGCTGAAAACCAATTAATTTTTTTAAATGTAAATTTGATTGTTTTAGAGGGTTGCAACTTCAATAAAATTATTTGTGAAATTATTGTTGAAATTATAGAATTTTTGAAAATTATTTGGAGTATTATAAAAACTATTTTATTAAATTATTATTTGTTGTAGCGGTTCAATTAGTGTGGGTGGTTTGGAGCCATGCTTTGTGTTTTACACTTTTACTAAAGAATGCAAGCAGCATTAATTTTTTAGCTACTAAATAAATTACTGAATTTTATGCGTTAGTTTTGTAAACTTATGATTAATGCTATGAACAATGTTTCGATATTTATGAATATGGTATAGGGAGATTTATGTATAAACAGTATAGTTTTTACGTATTTATTTATCCAGCACAAAAGTTTTATTTATTTATATTGTATTTTGACATCTAACAAGAAATGATATTTTTAATTTCAAAAATACAAATTTATATATTTTTATCATTATATAAACATTTAAATTTTATTTAATAAATATATAAATTAAACACTTAATATATAAGTACATAAAAATTATGAGATATTTATATAAATCCCTCCATAAATAAAATTGAGAATTTTTTTAACGAAAAATTTGAGTATTATAAATTTACTTAATGATTTTGTGTTCGTTACTCAAAATTACAATCATGCCCTTTTTTTATCATAGCGATGATTCATGAAATTCTGTTCTTCTCAAAACATGACTGTGTTGTTAACTGAATAGCGAATTAAATTGCAAAATAATAAACAAAAAACATAACATCCAAATTTTAAATATTTTTAATTTTTACACATGCAAAATTTTTTTTTTTGGGGTGACATTTAAGCTATAAAGGTAAACTTATAGACGCATCGTACAGATAAACTTAGAACTTAAAATATCTTGATTAATAATTAAAGCTCACAACCAATATACTAAAATGAACATTATGATGTAAACAAATCGAGCCAAACTCAAGTCATACCTAAGCTCAAAAATACTGCAGCTTTTATAAAGATACTGTAGTTTTTTTTAACAAAATTGAACAAATATCTAATATGAGCCAAGACTTGTCGAGCTTGTTTAATACACGAGCTCAAGCTCGTGGCTCGATAAACTCGCTTTCAAGCTGACTTGACTTGCACACACCCCTTAGATGAACACGTGCAAATATTCATTTCAAGAACCTCAAATCAAATTTTCAGATTTAGTGCTTCCAGTAATAAGCATGTCAATCTCTCAGAATAGATTGCGTGTGGATTTGGATTAATTATTCTGTGCGGACGCCGAACGTCGTCCGGAGACCAACCAAAATGCGTCACATCAACCTTGTGCTCAGTACCGCGACTCGGAACCGCTGACGTGATGCATTCTAATTTATTTCCAGACAGAATTTTTCGTCCCATCGCCACACAAAATAATTTCTGGCGGGTTTGAGGGACGTCAGATGCTATGGTCAATCTCAATTAAGAAAATTGCCACTGAGAGGAAAAGAAATATCTCCGTAGACAAAGTCTAAATAAGGCTGAATCTCATCTAAAATTTTGGATTGTTTTAAAATAAATGCAATATAAATGGTAACTAGTTAATTAATTATATATACTATATAATCTCAATTAACTAAATTTGAATCATTGTAAGGTTTGATGAAATTTTTTTCCAAATCTGGGCACAAACTCTAGCTTGCATTCCTACTGAGACCCTTCCTGCAATACTTACTACATAACAGAAATATAAATATTAGCTGCTTCTACTTATACAACAGAGGACCAGATCTAGATACAGCAAATCTAGGAACTGGGCTTGGTCCCTGACCAGTAGAGCTCGAGCCATCGACGAACTTCACCTTCCGGCTCGAGCTGTATTCTAACGGTCCTGATCGCCTTGTGTTCCGTTGCTTTTTGTCGATTGCCTCGTCTTGCCTCTGCATTGATGAGCTGAAGTAGCCCGAGTCATAAGTGGCAGAATTCGGCGTCGAATCGCCGCGATTTTGTCGAACAGAAGGTGATAAATGGGCAAGAGAAATAAGGGGAGAATGCTTGGGGGAATTAAGTGGTATTTCCATTGTTGGAATGGGTTGTTGTGAGGTTCCATAGTGCTGTGAGTATAAGGAACGCAGAAGGGCATATGGAACATGAACCTCAAGGGTGCTTCTGGGAAGATAGGGAGAGAGATTGCAGAGCTGGTCTAAGAATATCAGTTTTGGCAATAGTTGTGACCTGCGTGAGAATAGGGCAATTTGATAATCAAGCTAATGGTCTTTTGATAAAGAGGATATTATAATTCAATGAAATAGGATTAAGATAAATCCTTTTTTTGGCGCTTCATGATGAAATAGCTGAAATACATATCCAAATTAAGCTGTTTATGCAAAAAACCAAAAAATATGAGATGATTTGGTGGTGTTCTTGGTCAGTTTGTGTTGTTGTTGTGCTGTAGGAAATAAAATGATTGTGAGCTTTTCTTTGAAACAAATTAATTTGTTTTTATTTTTAATCTACTCTTATTTTTTAATCCCACCCGAAATTCTACAAAATGAGAATTTATTATGACCTAAGATACAATCTAACTGAAGACAAAACAATAACTTTCATGGTCTTTACAAACCAGAGTATCTGAGACTAGGGGTGTCAATTTCGGGTCACGGGTTGGGTTCAGATCAAACCCAAAACTGACCCGACATTATGCGGGTCAATCCGAACCCGACCCGTTTTTTCAAATGGGTCAATTTTTCGGACCCGAACCCAACCTACTTCGTGTCTGGGTAAAACCGACACGACCCGAATAACTTGGGGCCATTTAAAATTTTGATGTGCTTTTCGGGTTAAAAAAATCAGTCAATCTCCGCTTTTCGGGTCAAAAACGGGTTTTCGGGTCAATTTCATGCCAATTTCGGGTCAAAGGGTCAAACCGAGGCCGACTCGATTTTTGAAACGGGTCGAATTGTTGAACCCGAATCCGACCCATTTCGGATCCGGGTTGACCCTACCCAGAAATTTTGAGTCAGGTTCAAGTCAGGTTTTCGGGTCGGGTCAAATATTGACACCTATCTGGGACCAACAAATCAAATTTTGATGTGCTGGATAATTGTAAAATTGAACGCATATCCAAATGAAGCTGTTTGTGCAAATTACAAAAAAGTTTGAGGTGATTTCCTAGTTTACGGACTCAGGTTGTGTGCACGAATAACAAGACTTAAGATTATAGTTCAAAATATTAGAATCTGTTTGGAAAATAAGATAGAAAGGTATTTGAATAAAAATAGATTGCCTATAGTTTATATGAAGTTATTCAGATTGTATGAAAATGGACGGTGAAAAAGAGGATACCTGTTTGTCTCACTCCATGATTGAAGGATAATTGTTGCAGAACATTTAACAAAGATTTGCATTGCTGATTTTATGCTTGCTTCTACTGAAGCACGACTAAGTCTTTCGGGTTCTACCATTTCAGAAGCATGACCGTTAGAAAGAGACTGCCTTTGTAGCTCTGCTCTTTCCAACCTAATAAATTCACTGCCTCCAATAATAGCGTTGATGCACCTGAAAAAAAAAAAAAACCCACAATGAGAAGGGGTAAGTTGTGCACGTAAGATTTATGCATGTTTTAGAAAATATATCAAATATAAATTAAGTTGGTTTTCTGGATAGAAGTTAATATATATACACACACACACGAGCTGAATAACAATTGAGCTCACTTTAGTTCAACTCATTTATACTCCTAATTTCTTGCTCCAGAAACTGATTTTTTTGGAAAATAATTAAAGCAATAACTAAATTAAAAACTGTCACAGATCAGAGAGAGAGAGAGAGAGAGAGAGAGAGAGAGAGAGAGAGAGAGAGAGACAACCTTGCCAAACAATGCATGTTGTTGTTGAAACCTCCAGTGCTCACATCAAAACTAGTAGTACTCCATAAGGTTGACAACATAAATGCAGCACAGAGATATGGAAGCAGACTCCAAGAACTATCATAGGCAGCACCAGTTTCTTCCATAACCGAATAAATCCATTCCATGTCTTGCCCAACTACACCACCAATACTATGAGATACCTTTCTCAATCTGCTAATTTCACCTTTTTCAGGGATTTCGTCAGGTAAATGCTTAGATGTTCCACTTAACAAAGAAAAAATGAGAGGGGCTTTCTCCTCAAGAACTGCTCCTACAGCCTCTACAAGAATTCTACGAAAAGCTATTGCTTGCCCAGCTTGAACACAGAAACTGACCAGTGTTTCGATATCCAAGATTTGCCTCAAATGTGCATCTCTTTCAATCCGATCACTAGAATTTAAACTCCCAGCTATAGCCTCAAGAGCTTCACGGTTTGCCCGAAGGGCTGTGTCAATACAATTCAACAATGCAGAAATATGTTCTTTTATCATCATGTCTAATCTGTCAAATCCATAGCCTCCAAATATGCAAATCAGCGATTTAAGTTCCTTAAGATTCGTGTACGAGTCTGCAAAATATCCACCAACAAGTTTTGAGCTCTTGAAGCAATTATGGGCAGGTACAAACATTACAGAAGCACCATTCAAATCCTTCACAACATTATCCATGTACCAGTTGGAGACCATTTCTATAGCAGATCCACTTTGCAAATCAGCAGATTTTTCAAACATGTGGAGGTTAGAGATTGGTCCAGTGAAGGTTTCTATTAACAGAACTTCTCGAATTCCTTCTGTAAGATCCATGCTTATGTGCTGCTCAGCTAAATGAATAATACTGATGTGTCTGCGAATAAGGGATTCCATAACGGATGGCCTCTGTAGGCCACTATCAGTTCTCATAACTGTCAGCAGCCTTCTTCTAAAGTTACCCAGGATACAATCTCTCATATACTGTAGAGAAATATACAAATTATAATTTAAAATAGCCATTAAGAAGAAAATAATTTCAATTGGAAACTTAAAAGGAAAAACATTTCCATTGAATCTGTCTTTCAAAAATAATTCTTATTTTCTAGACTAAAAAAAATGTCCTCAATTCACCCCCTAAGAGTTACTTCAAAAAGTTGTATAACCTTATAGGAGCAAACCTTGCAACTGCTGAAAGGTTTAAAATAAAAAAGCCTCATAGTTGAAAATGAAAAAAATATTATATTTTTGAAAAAGGTTTTAGCTCACTTAAAAATCAAAATCCCGAAAAAAGATGAACAAGAAAAGTCTCCATATCCACTGTAAGAATTTTATTCATGCAATAAATTGTCTTACATGAGTTAGAATTTCTATACTCATAGATGAAAGAAAAAATAATTTCTTAATAAACTACTACAAAATTGATAAAAAATCGCAAAAAAATCAATGATATATGAAGAATATTAAATAGCTCAAATATTTAATACACAGTTTTAAAGTTTGTATCGGCATCAGTAACTGCTACAATTTTAATAAATCACTAAACAGCCATAAATTTGAATTTAGATATAACATTATCGACAAAGTTAAAGCCAAATAAAAAGCAACAAATGCACAGATAACACATTTAGGTCCCATATCAAATGGTATGAGGCAGACGGAGCCATGGTCCTTACCATTTGGAGGCCAGGGACAAAATATAACTGAAATGCAGAAAAGGGACATGATTAGGCAACAAATGCATTACAGTTCCTAGCCTCCAAATAATGTAAGCTTCTTGTCATTGAGCATTCTAATGCAAGAACATTTATTGACTTAAGCTGAATTATTATCAAGATCTCATGATAACATGTTGTGAAGATACCATAATTTTCACGCAATTTCTTGAAGAGAAAGGTGTTTAAGCTCCTTGCAAGACTCAAAAATGATTTCAACCAAGTTCAATCCAAATCGTATGCAAATAAAACTTACTATCACAACAACAACAACAACATCAAGCCTTTGTCCCACTACGTGGGGTCTGCTACATGAATCCTTTTTCTCCATTGTGTCATGTTAAAAGTCAAATTCTCATTTAAATCTAATAAAGAAAAATCATTTCTAATATTTTCTAATCAAGACTTTTTAGGTTTACCTCTACCTTTCTTAACATAAGTCACATATAATACCTCTACTTTCCTAACCGGGTCAAGCATTAGTATCACAAAAAGATTTTTTTTTCTAGCATAATAGTCAAAGAAAAAAAAGGATGGTAATACTTGACGCTTCGATCTTTGATCTTCTAAACATACATGCCATAACAATCATCAAACCCTGAGGTAAAAGACTAACAAATGCAAACTATTTCCTTCAGGGCAAAAACTTTCTAGTAAAGGCAATCTAAGGTGCAATCATAACAAAAAGGAAATATATCAAAGAAAAATGCTGAAAACCCAACAAAAACCCCAATGCTATTATGGAAATAAATATCACCAGAAAGGGTAGCCCTATCTTGTGGAATTAGAAGGGCTCAAATCCAAAAAAAAAAAGACAAACTTAGTAACTTTCTCAATACTATGAAAAAAATGACACTTAGATCATTAAACTACCAAGAAGGAAAGACAATTTTAGGATGCAAATGATTTTTTTTTTTATAAAATATAGAGCATATGGGAACCTAGAACGATATAAAGTGAGACTGGTGGCCAAAAGAAATACCTATGGATATGATTATCAAGAATCATTTGCTTCTACTGTGAAAATGAATATAATACATATCTTAATTTCTTTTGCAGCTAGTCATAGATGATCTATGCAGTAGTAGAATGTTTTTTTACTTGGGAATGTTGAAAAAGAAGTATATTTGGATCCCCCACCTAAATTTAATAGTTCTTATTGCTATAAATGTAGCAGTACGATCTTATAGAACATATCCTATTCAAGTAAGGTCGTATTTAATAGTTCTTTCATAAAGAATAAAATTTACGAATTAAAAGGCTTTGTATAACCTTAAAAATCTTTTGGAGCATTGTTTAGCAGATTCACATAAGTCATGAATGAAGCTGGAAAGAGACAAAGCTAAGAATATCATAAACTCTTCATAAAATACTCCATTTATGATAAAATTTCAATTTTTATCGTATATGTTGACGATATAATCATCAAAGATGATGATAATAGATAAAAGGAGCATCAGAAAAAAAAAAAAGAAAAAAAAAAAACTTAATGAAAATTTGAGATGAACAAGTCAGGCTAATTCAAATACTTTTTGGGTCAACAAAAATATATCAAAGATCTATTGAAATAAATAAAAATGACTAATTTCAAACCTTGTGAAACCATAATTGAACCAGGTCAAAATTTGGACGCACATGAAGGAAAAGTAGACTTGAAATAACATCAATGATTAGTTTTTAAAAAATAACTAACACCCATCTCGATATCGCATTTTCGGTGAATTTCATTAGTCAATTCATGCACAAACACAAAGAATTTCACTTTCAAGCTGCTTCTAGAATTCTCAGAGAACTTATATTAAATTTTGGTAAAAAATTCTCTATAAAAAATATAATACTTTACAAATGAAGTAATGCAGACTATGCATGATCACCAATGAAAAGAGATTTGCAACTGGATACTGTGCATTTTTTGAGAGAAAATCTGTTATGAGGAGCAAGAAAAAACTTTTTTAAGATCTAAATTTAGAATCATTATCCAAGAAATTTGCGAACTTCTATGGATCAAAATTATTTTAAAAGATTTAAAAATTAGATTAAAAAAACCAAGGAAGATATATTGTGAAAATAAATTTGCACTTACATTGCTCACATTTCAGCAAAATATAATCATGCCAAGTATGTGGAAGCAGACATATCATAAAAGAAAATTAAAAAAGAGTTGATTTGCATTCATATATGCCAATAGGAAATCAACTTGTAGACATTCTTATCAAAGAACTCTACAACAACACATTTAAAAATATTATAAACAAACTTGAAATGATAGATATATACAATTCAATTTAAGGGGGAGCGTTAAATGATATTAGGACAAACAAGTCAATCAATCTTGATAACGATCCTTGAGCACACGGATTATGAGTTCTACTTATTAAACTGATCATCTTATGGCCCTTATATTTCAATCCATATGCCTTCTCTTTCTCTTCTAACCGTTGACCCCTCTTGGGGACTTTTTTCCTTTTTTTTAATAATATCTTTGATTTATTTTCAATATAAAATTTTTGGAGAAGTCTACATATTTCCACACTTTATACAAAATTAAGAAATAAAATTCAAAGTATTTTTTTCTGCTTTTCTACAAAGTGATCCCAACAGAAATAGAAAACTTAGCCTTACATTAACAATCAGAAAGGAGCTAAAAATCCTTTTAGAAAGAAATGATCATATGTAAATAGAAAGAAAAGAGAACCTCACGGAGTACGAAGACATGGTTTAGAACACATATAGGCTCCATGTCATTTAGAACAGAACATAAACTTGTTAGCCTCTGCATGGCAGCTTCCAGCCTGTTAAAAGGATGAATATAAAAATATTTACTGCTATGGTGGTTTTCACAGGTTCTCAAGACTTGCATTCAAAATACAGTGTAGCACAACAATGAAAAGTTTGTCACTTACATTTTGACTGAATTACTGCTTTCGGGATGGCTTTCATGCCCTGGTACAGGAAAACCATAAAAACCTTTTGGTGATTTAGCAGAATTGGTAGAGATTTTTATTGAATTCATTCTAAGGGCTGCTTGCTCTGGAATAAGCTGAAACATTCAGTACGATGAGACAGTATCATGAATAGAATCCTATCTAAAATAATATCAGTCGAGAACAGAACTAGATACCTGCATTTCTAAAGCTCCAAATCCACCTTCAGAGTCGAGTATATTTATTAGACCTTCCAATCCACCCATAATCGATTCAATAAGTGACTCCACGTACAAAATAGCATCTCTACCTATTTTGTTCAGCTGCATTTACCATACAAGTAATGTTACCTAATAACTTATTTTCAATTGAATAGTTGCTTTGAGAAAAAGAAACATTCCCATCTTCTAGCTTTTTGATCAAGGGGATTGATGTGACATGTACATGCGAAGATGACTTTCTTAATGAGTTTGCACGCTTAATTTTTAGAGCACAATAATTATATCTTTGCATTGATTTTGAACGACAAAATAACGAGCGGCAAAACAAGCTTAGGCTAAATCACATGCAAAGGAGTTAAGATCGTAAAACAATCAATTTAATCTAACGATGCATACATGATTGGTTTTCAATGATGATCCCTAAACTAACAATGAGTTTAGTTACCATAAGAATCCACTTACTCAATTATCTAATTCACTAGGTTATAACGGATGAGAATTAACATTATCTATGTGAATCAACTAGACCATAATTGAGAGCGACTAGAAAGATAGGAGATTTGGGGAAGAGTTCACCGTCGTCAAATTCTTTGATCTTATTTGAGGGGCGAGGGAGAAGATCTGGAGTCCGGTGGCTGAACTTGAAGAAGTCCTGCATGTGGACAGCCGTGTGGGATCTTCTGGGCAACAATGAGAGCCTTCCGGATGGCGAATCAGCACTAAAAAATTGCTGGAATCTTGGAAAAGCAGCTGTGACTTTTCAGGACAGCAAATAGGGGTTCCTGGAGAGCAGGACAGCAGCTCGTCTCGTCGGAAATATTCAGGACAGCAGCCATGAACTTTCTGGACAGCAAGCAGAAGTATCCGGACAGCAGGACAGCCCCTGATCTTTGCAGAAATTCTTAGGACAACAGCTGTAGGGTGCTGAAAGTCTTATGGGCGGCAACAAACTGTAATCTCCAAAAGTGCAAGACAGCAAATTGTAATCTTCCTAAAGTGCAAGTCAGCGAAGAAACGTAAGCCTTTGAAGGGGTAGGGAGAGGGGTAGATTAAATCTGAACTTAATTACAGATTTAATGGGGAATTAGGCTTTATTCCTTTGAAATCTGAATTTGAATAATTGGGAGGGAAAGTGGGGAGGGGATTGTATTAATTAGATCCTTAATTCATGGGATGTAATTAATTAAAAGGGGAAGGTTGGGGGGGCGGTCAAGGAGAGAGGAAGGGAGAGGGGTTGGGTATTAAGGAGGTGGACCCAATTAATTAAGGGAATTGAATATTTAAATCTGAAATTAATTTCAGATTTAAACTATTTGGAGGTTTCTCTTAATTTATGGGATGATAATTTACGAATAGTTTGAAATTCAAATTTGAATTTGAACTTAATTCTATTCCTAAATTAGGGGAGCCAAATTAGGAAAGCATTTATGGGAAATTTGAAATCAAAATGTGGTAGGGAAATATGTGGCCGGCGGCTATGGGGTGGAGGGGGTGGCCGGCGTGTGAGGGAAATTATGAGCTTCCAAAACAAGCTATGTGATTTAGGAAAGGAATTATGATATCCACTCTAATTTGAAATTCAAATTAGATCTAGGTTTAATCACTTTCCTAACTTAGAATTTCAAAAAAAGGAAAGTATTTGAAATTTAAAATTTGAATTTCAAATAATTAGAATTCTTTTCCTCTTGGCTTGGCTTAACTTAGGAAAGCAACTATGATGAGGGAAATCATCATAATGGGGGTTGTAGAGTGGGCCGGCGGCATGGGGGAAGGGGGGATTTGGCTCGGGTGGAGGGGAATAAGCTTTGGGCCGGCGGCATGGGGGAAGGGGGGATTTGGCTCGGGCGGAGGGGAATAAGCTTTGGGCCGGCGGTGGTGATGAGGTTGGGAGGTGGGGTTGACACAAGGAGGGGAGATGATGGTGGCCGTCGGGTAGGGGAAAAGAAAAGAAGCTCGGGTGGAGAAAAATGGGAAAGAAGAAGAAAAGATATGGGAAAACCACGAGCTCACTCGCAGGGGCTGTTGGGTACTTCGTTTGAGCCTCTCCTAGACTTCACCACTATCTCTAGAACTCACAAAGAGATCCAAAAGCAAAAACTGAAATTTGTTTCATATCAATCCTCCTTCAATACAAGAAAGCTAGCCTATAAATAGGCCTTATGAAAAGAAAAATAGCAAAGACTAAAATGCCCTTCGGGCTACAACACCACTTGATCACTCCTAAGGGTAAAATAGGAAAAACATTAATAACTAGTACATAAGACATCAAAAATAAAATAAACTCTAGATCGCAGCCGTTGATCTTCTGATGTCCTCATCAGGGACACTCTAATCTGTTATAGAAATTGGGAGGATTGATTTGTCAAGTGCGAGGAAAAATGGAAGGGGAAGAGATCTAAGTAACATTTAATCATTTTTTTAATCAAAGATAAGGTATCAGTCCAGATTGTAGATTATAGAATTTACAAATAACATAACTTGACAACAACATTAGAGGATTTAACAAACTGGCAACACAGTGGACTGTTTGCTGAACTAAAGGAGTTTACAGTTGTTAATAGGGATAAAGTTGTAAAATACTACATCTTTTTTGAGTTGTAATACCAGCACAAGCATACACACACCCCAAAAAAAAGAGAAAAATAAAGGAAAATACAATAAAATAGAATATCCTCCATAATAATAAATTCAAATGCAACCAGAAATCATTTCATGATTCATCATTTGTTATCCGGTAAATAATAAGTTATACCTCCTCTGTAATAAGTGCGGAAGCACACTCAGGAAAACTGCTGGCTATACCAAGCCACGCACAGCAGTGATGTGGACGTCCTTCAGGCCCAAACATGGTGTTCCTGAAGACCTGATGGAATGCCAAATTAGAATTAAGAAAAATGGCAGATCAAAAAAGAGAACTCATTTCTAGAGAAGACAGTGTAATACAGTGGATTTTGCCATTAGCAATGGAGAAGATTCGTACTGCGGTTAGGTGATGATGATAGAAGTATAAATTTTTTAGGCTTCCATGTTTTGATAGCTGACACATGAGCTCGTCCACACATCTGCAGTATGAAGTTCAACATTTTGAGTGAAATAAACGGATTCGTATAATTTATTCAGTTAAACCAGGCATTCTACGTTACACAAAAAGGCAAGTAAATTACTTAGGTTCACATATTTATAGACTCAACCTTTGTATTCATCAAGTCCCCTCCAACATAAAGAGGTTGCACCAAAATAATATTGTCATGATTCATCTAAAAAACTTCAAATTTAAATCAAAGGGATCCGCCTCACACTCATGACTAAATGACGTAAAAATGTGTTATTTTATTCTCCAATAATTTCACAAAAGCAACACAAAAAGTATATTAAGTTAAATTTCCCTAAAATGTGTTAGTTTAATTCTCCAATAATTTCACAAAAGCAATAAAAAAAGAAGATTATGTTAAATTTCCCTACCCCTGCAAGGGAAAATTATTAGGTCCGGTCATCGGACCTATTTCAAATAGGTCCGGATATCCACTAAAATTTTGACGTGTGGAATGAACACATGTCTGCAGAATTTTAAGTCAAGCGCGCCAAAAGCGCAGTCCACGTGGCAACTTTTTAGTGGATGTCCGGACCTATTTTCTAGGTCAGGTGACCGGACGTAATAATTTGCCCCCTACAAGAGATGGCAAGAAAAAATCTAAGAGAAAAAGGGGACATGAAAATTCCATAAACTAGGGTTTCCTTGAACCATAAAATTTGAAGCCTCTTATAACTTGTTAAACTCTCTCTTTAGTATTTTATCCCTCTGCTCTCTTCTCCTTTCACTCTCTCAGACCTCAGATTCCCTCTCTCTTCCAATCCTCTAATCACATGTCAAATAACCAGTAGGACACACCGTCTATCTAACCTCCCCATCCATATGTCAAGTGGATGGCTTGATGGGATGCAATGGCAAGGGTCAATCGTTATTGCCCCCACAAATGACAAATCTTTTTTTAGTTGCTTATAAAAACCCCTCTTTTAAAATGCTATATTGCTTAGCTCCATTTTTTCTCCAGAAAAAAGAAGGAAAATCAACATTAAACAAAGAATAAATTTACGAGTGAAATCCCGAACCCCAAGAACTAAACCATTAAATTGTAGAACAAGCAAAATAAATCCGAAAATATAAAAAAAATATGCATTACTGACCAAAGCAGAGTTATTCCATATTTTTCTGATTTTTTCTCTTCCCAAAGCTTCACAGCAGGCTGCCTACACTTTTTTCACTGGTGGATGTCACTTTCCTTATTCTATATCCTTAATGTGTTATGAGCATTTTAATGCCAGCTCATCTGTTGATGTATTCATAACCTTCTAATTTTCATTGCCATGCGTTCTCATTTTTTAGCTGACCTCATTTGTGTTGCTCATAACTTAGGCTTTTAATCCGTGATAGATGTGATATATCAAATTATAGGAGGAAGATCTGGCTTAGAAATATGGCAAGCATATGGCAAGCTAATATCTAGTGTAATCAACTTTGCCACATACATAATTATTGCGACAAAGAGATCTACAAAATATGGCGAGCTAAGGAGCATTTATTGTTCACATTCAAGAGTAGCAGTGCAACCTTGTGTATTAAGATTCCATGCCAGTTCTATGCACTTCGGCAAAAATACATAACCAATTCTCTACAAAGTTAAGGTTTTTTCTTGATTGTATCCTCAAGAGTAATAAAAAAATGAAAGTGAACAGAAAAGCTTATGATCAAGCTAAACACTAATAGAGACAACTTAAAAGTTAAATTAAGTATCGCCGGTTCAAAATTTTGGCAGCACCTGGACCAATTGTAGGCAGCATTCCCTTCTGACAGCAAACCCTCCTTTCCAGTTGACACAGTGGCCTTTTCCAAGTGTCTTATGTTTATTGATGAACGTGAAGATGTAACAATCATTAAGATTGATAACCAGTGCTTCCGCAATTCCTGCAATAGTTGGAATATACATGCAAGAGAAACAAATTAATTAGAAACATATGTGCCAATGAAAAAACAGGTATCTGTTGAAAATCAAGGGTAATAAAAATGTCAATGCAAAGCACTGCACATCAAAGTCACCAGAAAATTAATGGAAACAGAGAATTTTATGCTGTTTTATAAGTGGAAAGTGTGGATATAACACTAGCGTACACACTCTGAAGTTACAAGAAGATACATAAAGGAACATCAAAGTAAGCTGACCCCAAACTGGGACAAATCCAATGATAATAGTGATGCTGGAATGTGCCACCATTCATAGCAAATTTTAACTGACAGATCAATTAATTAAGCTTTATCATTATCATCAGCATTATCCAAAGCATTGAGATAAGCTTTAAGGATCCCCCTCCATCTATTTCTGTTGACTTTTTGACGCCGCATGATCATAAAAATGATGGATCTATTGAAGAATTGAGAAAGAAAACGGAGTAGAGAAAGAGGAGGAGAAAGAAAGAGAGAGAATTAGAAAGTGCATGAATATTCCTTAAACTACTAATTTTGAATCCTCAAAGCATTTAAAAGTGAGAAGTCCTCAATGCATAACGAGTGGAATCCTCAACATTCAGGGAGGGCAGATATCCTCATGGAAGCCATGACACTTCAGTCAATAATCATGTATAAAATCCACTAAACACAAAGAAGCATTTAAACAAAAGGGTTGAGGGATTCCAAGAAACAAAATGTCCCCCGAGCAAATAAATGGAACACTCAAACCAATTACCATAAATATCATGAGTAAATGAGCCAATGAAATAAATAATAGACCAAAAACAACTAACTCCAGGAGAGCAAATAAGATTTCATATACTTGATCAGATCAGTAGAAAGTTACATGTGGTCTAAATGGACTGCATGAGTTACCGAATTAGGTGATAACTCTATTTTGTACTGGACTTCTGTACTTCTTCTAGCCATGTTACCTAAGACATTTAGTGCCACATGAGCAGTTAAACCTATTTTGCAGAAGTTATTTCCCTAATAATCACTCATGAAAAGCCACCTCATACCCTTGAGCATCCTGAATATGTAAGAGATAACTTGAGGGTAATATTTATTAAGCTAGATTAAGTTCTATGAACTAGATTTTTCCTGATTTAATGTTAGGGCCTATTTAGATATGGGGTTGAGATTTCTTATAAGTGCAAGCCTCTATAATTGATTACAACTCTTGCTCGTAGAAGAACATTATCAATTAAGAAGATTTCTAAGGCTTAAATTTAGAATTTGGTTCAATATTTATGGTTTAAGTTAATTGATAGGGAATAAATAGATTCAATTAAGATCTCATGGTTATATCAACAAGGGTACTATTTGATCTAGTTTGCTAACATCAAATGGCTTGGAGTCATGATGTCAAAAGAGCTTGATTAGCAAGCATGCGTTGCTTCCTCTAAGATATCTAATAGGAAATGGATATAATTTCCTTGAAATCAGCGAACGACAATAAGAAATTGAGAAGAAGAACACATCAAAACTATTCTTATTGCAAGATATATGAAAGAAAACAACATTATACAGTTGGATCTTCAATTGGAGAGAAAGATCCGGCTCTCCCAAGTCCCTAGCAAGCGATTAGAGCCCGCACAACCTAAGAAATTCTAATTTTAGCAAACTCAAAACATATCCCTGAAATCATCATATAGTTAGCCTTAAATAGTCTCACCAATTCCCTCCTAAATCAGCCAGCTTTCCCTAAATAATTTGTTCTTGTATTTGAATTCAAATCAGATCTCTTGCCCTAAATAATTCCCTTCCAATTATAATTAAAACTTTCCTAAACAATTCCCCCCTGATTCCTTCTCCTTTTTCCTAAATAATCCCCTCTTAGATTTTGAATTCAAATTAGACATCTTGCCATAAACAATTCCCTCTTAATTGTAATTAATATTTGCCTAAATTATTCCCCTTTGATTAAAAACCTTTCTAAGTAGCTTCCTCTTGGTTAAGAAACTTCTTAATTCCCTCCCAATAAAATTGACAGGTCCATCAATACTCCCCTCCCAAAGTGTCACCTTGTCCTCAAGGTGGAACGAAGGAAACTGCTGCTGAAGCATTGAACTGAAAAATGGACTGTCACTAGGTTGAATGCTCCCTTCCTCTAGCACCTCCCTGATTAATCTCTAGATCTCATGCTTATGGAGTTGGGGAGAATGATATGGATGAACACTGATATGTGAGACTCCTTCCTTCAAAATGATAACTTGCTCGTGTTCTCATGGAGGAGGCAACCATTGAACTGGTTGGAACACCTCTCGATATTGTTGTAGGAGTGGTTGAACCATGTCTGGCGCTTCTATCTTCTCCCCATCTTCTTCTCCTTCCAAACTTTGTAGCTCCACCAAAAATCCCACTTCTTCACTCTTTCCTCTCATTGGAAGTGGCTCTAAAGGTGTCAACTCGTCTTCTTTCCCCAATATTTCCACTTCCCCATCCTCCCTCATCGTCCCTATATTAGAGTTTCCCCCATTTCCTTGTTCTGTCAACGATGCACTTGCCTCCGATATTATCGGTTGAGGGTGAAACTCTAATATTTTTTTCATCATATCCTCTAGGTTAGAAAGACTTCCTTCCAAGGATGAAGCCTTCCTTTAATGGTTGAGAACTTCAACACCAACCGAGATTTGATTTGGACCACTTTGTCTTCCAACACATCCACCTTCTTAGCAATAATAGGTCCAAAAAAAAACTCTGATACTAATTTGATAGGAAATGGATAAAATTTCCTCGAAATCAACAAACGACAATAAAGAATTAGAAAGAAGAACACTAAACAAACCAAAACTCTTCTTATTGCAATATATATTAAAGAAAACAACAAGATACAGTTGAAACATCAATTGAGAAGAAGACCCAGCTCTCCCAAATCCCTAACCAGCAGCTAGATCACTCACAACCTAAGAAATTCTAATTTCAACAAACTCAAAACATACCCCTGAAATCGCCCTATTGTTAGCCTTAAATAGGCTCCCCTAATTCCCTCCTAAATCATCCATTTTTTCCTAAATAATTTATTCTCATATTTGAATTAAATTAGATCTCTCGCCCTAAATAATTCTCTTCCAATTATAATTAAAACTTTCCTAAGCAATTCCCCCTCAATTCCTCCTCCCTTTCCCTAATAATCACCTCTTAGATTTTGAACTCAAATTAGATCACTTGCTCTAAATAATTCCCTCCTAATTGTAGTTAAAATTTTCCTAAATAATTCATCTTTTAATAAAAACAATCATAAATAGCTTCCTCTTGATTAGAAAACTTCATAATTCCCTCCCAATCAAATCGGCCGGTCCATCACATCTCAAGCAGACCAGTTGATTATGTTTTTCTTTTCCCTTCATTTATGAAATTATATTTATATGTTTAAAGAGAATGAGACAATTTGTTATGTAATTTAAGAATATCAAATTTGGAATTTATAGTTAATGATAATATGTAAATATAAATAAAGCCCTTTTAAATTATATTAGATTTTAATAAATGTAATTTATTTTATATATTAGATATGTAAGAATAACATATTTATAAGTTAATAATCATTTGTAGAAGTTAATTAAAAATAATTAAGGAAAGGTATTAATGAAATAAATTATAATAATGTTAAAATTCCATTTTTTATATAAAATAATAAAATTATGATTTTTAAATTATTAGCAATAAATTTATAAAGTGAGGAAGAATTAATTTTATCATGGATTATGGGAGTTATTAAGAGGAATTAATTAGTTAATTAGAGAGAGAGAGATTTTAATAAATAATATTTGAAATTGAAGTTATACTAATAAATTATAAATGACAAGTTAAAGAAATTAAGAACAATTTGTTAATTACTTTTTTATAACAAGGTGTTTATATAGATGTTAAGTTGGTGTCATCGAAATAATAATTAAGATCGATTGTCCAAGCATCAGATTTCGAGGTGAGTATTCATGTTTCAATATTATGGTAATAATATTGCATCTTTTAATTGTCTTTAATTGTTATTGCAACTAATTTCTCTCTCACATATCAAAAGATGGAGCATGATTAGCATGTTATGTTTTACATTACTGTATAAAGTTAAAGAATGTAAAATGAATGAAATTGTTAAATAAATATGCTTGCATGTGCATATTTACTGATGAAGCACAACTCCTTATAGTACTGGATAGGGACACAATGTACCTATGCACGTAAATGAAAAATGTTATGGAAAATGAAAAGAAAAATGAAAAAAGAATACCTTCATAGGTACTATTTTAAACGGTGGTTCTTGTGACGGTTGTATTATTAAGAAAGGATAAAGATACAATATATGAAACATATATTATATATGCATATTATAAATGATCATGTTTGAATATGAATCTTAAATAGAATTAAATTATGTTTTTGAAAAGATACTGCATATTGTTCCTAAAACCTTGTGTTATTGTAATTTATAAGTATGATTTACTCACTGAGTTATGTTGTGATTCATCCTTTTTAGTTGAAAATATTTTCAAGTATAATTTGATTTAAATAAAATGAGCAAAAGAGAATAGAATGTATATCGTGTGCGCATAAGGAGAAAGGTATTTATATTATTTGTTATTTTAAATTTTTGAGGTTTTAGTGACTCTTTCAGTTTATTTGAGATAGTTTTAAATTAATTGAAAATTTAATCAACTGTACAACCGTCTGTTCCCTCCTTATTAATTCGAGCCTCCGAGTCGGGTTGTGATAAGAGGGTTGGTCCAATAGGTTGGGGCTTATATCCATTGACAGGCGTGGAAAATAAGTATGATTTAATGGGCTTGTAGCATTAGTGTTGGCACAAGTTGGCTAGGTTGAAATGAGAATAACATCATTATAAGGTGCATAAGAGGGACTTACAAATTCGAGGATGAGGAAGGCCCAATAATGGGTATTACAACATTAAATTCATATATTTATCTGATGAATATTATATGCATAGTCTTTTGAGCCACATATAGAAATAAAAACCCTCAAATTAAAAACTAGATGATAAAGAATTTATATTATGAGGCAGTATATACATATGCTCAAGATCATATATCGTAGTTTGAATCTTTCAGCTGTAAGTCATCTTTCTAAAATTAAATAACCTAACATATCTTACATACGCATTAAGACCAGGATTTCATAGTTTCAAAAGTGCTTACGCGGGTTTAACTGGTCGTCCCTTTCCAAGCAGACTTATAAGACTCGATTGGGCTGACTTAACCTCAAGTGAGGTTTCAAGTTCATAAGTCCCACACCTGTTAAATTTAGGTTTGAACTATTACCTATTATTAGTTTTTTACTTAAATTTAGAGTCCAAGGGTGATGTTCTCAATTAAATCATAAAGCCTCACTTTCCTACCTATTTCCTCGATCCTATGTTATTTGAATATAAGCTCAAGCTTTCCAAATGAATTAGTCAACTTTAACATAAATTTGAAGTCAAAATGTAAAACGTAATATAAGATAATTTCAAATATCTCATAGTTACTAAAAATAAGATAATTCCTTATTTTTTCTTTGACTTTTATTCGAAACTTGATTTTATGTTGATCTAATCATCCTTAAAATTTCAAAGACAAATCTTTAAAATGATATATTTTTTTCAAAATCATATAAAATATTAGCTATTATTTTAATAAATAAAAATAAGTAATTATTTAAGCAAAAGTTTTATCAAGGGTCAAATATTTTTATATTGTAATTCATTTTAAAGGCTTGCCTTTATGGAGAATATGTACTCCAAAATAAAATAAATCCTATTCAATTAAATATATTGTGTAGGGCAAAATCTCAAAGCACATAAAATAAAATAAAAGCTTTGTTATTGAGTTCATAACAGGATAATATTTTTATCTCTTAGGATCATGTATTATTTTCTATATCATACTTAATCACAATATTTTAAGCCTGTGGAGGATAGGAAAATTCTCCATCACTCTTTTTAAGTAATTCCATTTATATGCACTTTAAATCTCCCCCATTTTTTTATAAATGAAGAGATAATTTCACAAATTTCAGCATATGAAAATTTAAAGCTATCACTCTTTCGTTTGCATTCTACGAAAAACACAAACATCACTTAAGTGCTTAATAAAATCTTTCATTAAATGGCACAGTAGGGAAAAATGTCTAGCCATATGACGAAGCCATTTAGTCAAGTGCTCGCAATCACATAAATATAATAAAATAACAGGCATGTTGCGTGATTAGAAACTTGCAACAAACATCTAAGGTCTATTTTCATTGTCAGATCGGTAACTTGCAATGAAACATCCAAGGCTATTTTCAGTTTCGCATGCTTCAACTGCAAAAAGCAATCTTACAAGAACACTCATGAATTTGTCATAAGCTTTATACTGGCAAAATGTGTTTAGCTATATGCAAGTCAGTTCATAACGTCTTTGAATGATAATACATATCTATCATTAAAATTAATGTCAAAGTTAAAGAAGATACATTCAATAAGTAAGAAGTTTGACATTGTTCTACATGAGGGAACTGATACCAACAATGATATAGATTAAGTTTGTGCAATAATATTGTTATAGTCAAGCAATAATCATATATAAAGATGCAATCAGCAATTTAAGCATCAACTACAAAATATGTAATAATGCCAGTATAAATGGAATAAGGCTAGTTAACCAGTTAGTTAAAAAACACTTACGGAGAGGTCGCATGTAACAGCAGAGATGTTTTCTCCTTGAGGCTTTGGTATGTTCTCAAGACAATGAACAACTTGCTGAAACAAACCCTTCAAAGTGGAATCAAGGTCCAAGGCAACCATCCCAGGGGTACCAAGCAAAAATCTAATTCTTCCAGCAGATGATGATAAGTATGATAATGCATAACCCTTTATTGCTGAAAAGAAAGATAGACTAATAAGGTTTAAAGACCAGTATGAACACCATAAGAATTGCAATATTCAATCAACAACACAGAAAAATATTTCCTAGAATAGTTAATAAAAAAGCAACTATTCCAGAAACAATTTCAGCCATGAATTTGCTGAGCTTAGGTAGCTACTGCATCCCATAGAATTCAGAAGGTAACACTGTAGCTAAGTGAAGCTAACATCTATAATTGATCTGATGATTTCTATTGAAATGCACATACTTGCAATTACATACATTTAACACACGTTTAAGATTAGGAAGATCAAAGATGATCTGAATGATCATTCACCTGCAACATATTTGCGAACTAAAGAGCAGAGTTTGTCCATTCCATCCAACAAGAATCCTACAGTTGGATCTGCTGCGTCCTGTAATAAGCAGGAAAAGCATATACAGTCCAATAAGAATGAAGCATCCAAGCAATGTAAATTAAATGAGAAGTTATACAACTTACAATGTCAATTGGCACTCGAGCAGCTTTAGATTTTGAGGATGCAACCCCAACATGTTGAAAAAACCAAATTACCTCACACTGAGCTAATGCTAGTGCAGAGAATACCATCTGTCAACATCACAAGCATTCAAAATATAACAACAAATGAGAAATGCATTTACAACTGATCTACCATGTCATGATACAGTACACATGGGAATAAAACAAAATTCAATCCAAGTTATTCCTGGCGTTACTTCCTAATAAATACCAGCACATAAAGAATATGTTTTCCAAAATCTAAAACAATCTACATCTTACAGGTGTCCCAATTTTATTTGCACAGCAAATCAATCATTCTGTTCCGTTGCCCTTATTCCATTCCCTTAGTCGATAGAATTAAAAAAACAGATTTCATTATTCTGAGAAAGCAATGCCCATCCAGCAGTGGTAATGGACCAAATAATCTACGAGATCTTATTAGCCTTTGCTTACTGTTGACCCCTATACCTCAAACCACGTGCGAAATGACCAAACTGGTGAGTAAAGCGATACGTGTCTTGGCGCCACGTGTCATTTGAAGGGTCAAACGACCTCTGATTGCCAAATGGATGGGGCCGTTACGATCAGGACATCGAATTCTGCTAGGTTGAGGCCCCTCGCAATCGAATCAGACGAGACCAATCAAAAGGGATGACCGAAACCCGAAATTAAAGCGCGAGGCTGCTAAAACGACGTCGGATTGACGAACGGACTGCATCGTTGTGTTCGGAACATCGAAATCACCCTAGATGCACTGTCAATTTATTTAGTTGAGGTTGTGCACGCAAATTGAGGCGGCACAATGTAAAAATTGCCTTCTTCATTGCTCAAACGATGTCCGATCGTGAAACGGACTTCGCGGTTATGTTTAAAACATCGTCAATACCCTAAATGCATTGCCAATTTATTTAATTGAGGTTGTGCACACAAATCGAGGCAGCCTTACGTAAAAATTACCCTCGACGTCGCCCAAACGACGTCCGATCTCAAAGCGGACTGCGTCATTGTGATCGAAACGTCGGCAATACCCTAAATGCACTATTAATTTGTCTAATTTTGATATTTGGCAAATTCGACACATTAAACAAGGCAATCGATGCGCAAAACGAGAAAATTGCACGCTAATCGAGGCAATTTGACTTTGGTAAGGCAGTCCTGTCATTTCAAAATTAAGGCGTTGAGGATGTATCACTAGTATAGTTTTACAGTTATAAAATTTCAACAAATTCAGATGCCAAATGAAGGAATAGTCAAATTCAAGATTAATGGCATTAATGCCATACCTTGTTTTGTCGAAACCTAGTCACTTCCGTCAATTCTGTGCAGCTGGCCACCTCGTCGTAGAAATGAAATTAAATCTTGCTGCCTTCATTTCCTACAGCGATCTCCCATTCAAACTCCACTACCTAGCCCTTCACGTGAAAACTCCAGCTCCGTCCCTCTCTTCCTCTTCACCTCTACAGTAACAGCTCTTCTCTACTTCTGCACCTCACTTCAGACATATACTACACCCATCCAGCCCTCTGCTCCACCTTTTGCTTTCATTTGACGGAGAGGATGGAGGCCAAGCCCGAGAGCCAGTCTGGCATCTGGAATATCATCAATTCCCCCACCATCCGCTTTAAGTGCACGATGGTGAAATTTCTATTTTAAATATCAAACTTTTCAAACCTTTCCAAATTCCCAAATCCAAATCCAGTTCTCCAATCTCAAACCCATTGCTGCTACTATATGCCAGATACTACGTATTCTCTACGTATCTGATTGACGACCAGCCTTAATCGAAAGTTCTCTCTCGTTATCGGGAGGGGTAATTAACTATAGGGGCTTGCGCCTATAGGAAACCAGAACTCAGATCATAAAGTCCTCGCAAAATGAGGGCGAAATCTCTGGGTAGTGTCTTATCTACAAACCCATCTGCATTCCAAAATTTACCCCGGAACTTATTCAGTTAAAACTCCCTCGCCGAATAAAAAGAAATCGCGCGGCGGGGAGGCCGGGGCCGAATTTTCGGAGCCCACACTTACCTATGCTCCTCATCCTTGGTCATAGGCATCTTTTTCTGTAAGAATTGACTACGTATCTTCTTTACTCAACGGATCGTAGTATATACTTCTATCCTTTCACATCTTAACATTGCTAGTTCATGACTTTACCATTTTCCAGATATCTTAACATTGCTAGTTCATGACTTTACCATTTTCTAGATATGTTTGGTCAAAAGATACTTAACAGATTATAAATTGTATTTACACTATCCTATAATGGTCAACAGTAATCACAACATTTTGGAAACACGGTCTTGGTTGTGGTTTGGCTCTCATTATGAATGTTTTTGTTTTGGTGGTTTAGATGGCTTCGGAGTTTAATCACAGTTTCTATTTTTAATATTTAAATTATAAAAAAATAAAAATTTAAGAAAATATTTCTCATAAATTTCAATCTTCAAAGCAGATTTTAACATAAAAATAAATTTCTTAACTATAATATGCTCCTAATAATATTAAAACATGCGTCAACATTACCAAAATGCCTATATGCCTGACGGCAGTATTATAATAACCTTTTTCGGGTTATTGTTTTATTTATAGATATACCTCTATTTTCATGCATTATAAATTATTAAATCTCAAAATAGAAAGGTATGATGCTACGACTAAAGGATTTACTTATTATTGTTGCTTTAAGTAACCAGTTGAGCCTTAATATAAAGCAACTACTTTAGCAAAATGGATGATGGTAATTTATGAACAAGGGGAGCGTCTGCACACAAATCGCATATATAAGTCACATTTACTTCCCGGTTTTACAAAATGTGAAAGCGGAACCAAAAACACAGGAAGGCTGGACTCACAAAACTGATCCAAACTAGATAAAATGGATCAATTTCAACCTTTTTTAAAACCAGGGAAAATACACATTAGAAGGCATGCATCATTACGCTAGCTCCATGCCAATGTTTAGATTTAGATCCAATTGAGGATTGGTGCAAATCCAAGAAGGCACTGAGGTCCAATTAGGAAGTATTATACACCAAATTGAGATCAATCCAGAACCATATTCAATCACATCACCTGACCAAGTATTAGAGATGGAGAGAAAGGTGTGATAATTGAATAACATTGGACCAAGAGTGAAGTAGAAAAAAATAGTTTCTCAGGCATTTCATTTAGTAATTAACAAAAGGAAGGTCCATCTAGGGGTGTGCGCGGTTCAATTTCATTCCAACCTGACCAATATTAAAACAAAATTATACCAAATAATTTAACCAAACCATTATCATTAAAAACAAAACCATTAGCATAAGAAACCGAACCAAACTAATTGGTTTGATTTGAATCGTTTTACTCATGGTTTTTTGTTTACATGCATAAGCCTTGAATCATATTTTTCAGCGATCTCGTCTAATTTAGTTTAATAGATTTATTCTAAATTGATGGATAATTAAATCATCTATATGGTTTCATAATATTATTAATAAGTAGGGTTTGACAAGTTTGTTTTAATTTTTAGGTTCAATTTAACTGCAAAATATTCAGCATTAGCATTAGTGAGCTCTAAAACTTTTAAGCTACCTCTTTGAATTCAAATTGGCTTTGATTTAAAATTTTAAAAGATGGATTAGATATTCAGATAAGATGTTACCAAAAGATTTAGCCCTCAAATAAGAATTTTATGATCTCGTTCAATTTTTCTCATAGGCATGAGCCACTAATACTGGAATGGGCTAGCTGGTCAAAATA